ATTGAAATGTGCATTGCTAACAGCGGAGCTATCTCAGCCGATAGGCTGCTTGTTGTTACACAGAGATTGCTATGCACATTTCTAGCCACTAAATAAAATCCAAGCTTCACAAAGTGATATTTTGATTTTATCATCCTGTTTATATAGCTGTACAATATGCCATCAACTTGTTTGTACTATTTTCAACATTACATGCTTCCAATCATCCACTTTCCCAATTCCTATCGTCAACTTTCCTCTATTTTAAATTTCTCTCTCCTACAACTTCTATTGACAACATTTCTTCGCTATCAACCTCTATCAACATTTCTCAACTTTCAAACCCTATCTTCAACAGTTCTATACTTTCAAACCCTTCAACATTTCTCTTTCAACCCGTATTTTCAACATTTCTCTACTTTCAACCCATATCGTCAACATTTCACTACTTTCAACCCATGTCTTCAACATTTCTCTACTTTCAACCCATATCTTCAACATTTCTCTACTTTTAACCTATATCTTCAACATTTCTCTACTTTCAACTCCTATCTTCAACATTTCTTCACCTGCAACTCTCATCTTCAACATTTCTCTACTTTCAACCCCTATCTTCAACATTTCTCTACTTTCAACCCATGTCTTCAACATTTCTCTACTTTCAACCCATATCTTCAACATTTCTCTACTTTCAACTCCTATCCTCAACATTTATCTACTTTCAACCCTATCTTCAACATTTATCTACTTTCAACCCTATCTTCAACATTTATCTACAACATTTCTCTACTTTCAACCCATATCTTCAACATCTCTCTACCTTCAACCCCTATCTTCAGCATTTCACTACTTTCAACCCATATTTTCAACATTTCTCTACTTTCAACTCCTATCTTCAACATTTCTCTACTTTCAACCCATACCTTCAACATTTCTCCACTTTCAACCCATATTTTCAACATTTCTCTACTTTCAACCCCTATCTTCAACATTTCTCTACTTTCAACCCATACCTTCAACATTTCTCCACTTTCAACCCATATTTTCAACATTTCTCTACTTTCAACCCCTATCTTCAACATTTCTCTACTTTCACCCCATATCTTCAACATTTCTCCACTTTCAACTCCTATCCTCAACATTTCATTACTTTAAACCCATATTTTCAACATCTCTCTACCTTCAACCCCTATCTTCAGCATTTCACTACTTTCAACCCATATTTTCAACATTTCTTCACCTG